ATAGCACGGGGTTATTAATCATTTTTAATGATCAAAGATAGATTTTATTTCAGCAGTAATCAAAGGTGTGTCAGGAAGAAGATGATTAACACTCTCTTCCTCAAAATTGTTGTTTTCAAAGCTATTATTTTTTTTATAATAGTGACAAATTTTTATAGTTAATGACAAGAATAGTTCAATCACTAATACATCGACTTTTGAATGAATTAGTGTAAAAAAAATCACGATAATTTCAGGCCAATAGAAAATGTGACGGTTCTTTATGTATTTTTCAATGTTTTCCTTTCGCAAATGAATAAGTTCATTAAGAGTCATTCAATAAACAATTGTTTTTTCTGTTTTCAATAAAATCATAGATACTGAATACTATACAAGAATAATTACATCGGAACACATTGCTTCGATCGTTGGAAATCGTGATGATGAAAAAATGATTATAATTGAAAGCAACAATCTTTATGCAGGGTCATATTGAGTATCGGTAACAAAAAAGGAATGTATCGATTGAGGAAAAGCCAGCTGTAAATAATATCGTGCATGAAGCGTGCGTCGCGGTGTAGACGTGATATGAGAACGTCGTCTTTCGCTTAGCGCACGGATGATCTCACCCGAATTAAATCCATCATTGGATCAGCTAATACGGTCCTTCCCGCGAAACAAATACAACGCGCACGTTTCATATTAACCCAGATAAGGTTGATTTTTTTTTAAATATCGTACCATAAGCAGTTTGTATACGACATATGTGCATTATTAGCCACGTAACATCAACAGGCTCTCCTGGAAGTGCATACGTCAATCTAACGTATCTAATCTTCGTAATTTATATTCGAAGTAGAAATTTCATACGGCCTGTCACGTGTAGTGTATATGTAATGTATCATGTTAACTTTATGCATTGATGATAACGAATAATATGGAAAACATACAAAAATTATACATAATGTATACAGAATATGTTTGATTAATTAACCTCTATGGATCTGGGTAACTTTCAGATCACACGCTAATATATCGAGATTTTACCAAATAATTTTAGTTTCTTTTTGCAAAATTACGCATACGTCTCTGGTAACCAATAACAATATTAATGACGGTTGACAGCACCATCAAATTGAAATATTAAAATAAATGCCTTGCAAGTTGTTTACAGAAAATAAAAATTCGACCCATAGAGGGTTAACATAATAACTTTAGTATTTCGTTTCGAATACATGCATGTACTTTTTGATTATGTTTAGCATATATTTATCGTATTCATGACTGAATATAGACCTGGAAATTCAAATAGATAAATTTGGACGCTTGAAGTTGCTTTGAAAAAACGAAAGTCATATTAAAAATCATTAAAGGAGCAGGATCAGATTTGATTAATACGTGAAAAGATATTTTCTCAAAATACCAAGGTGAAAGTCAAGGTATCAAGGGAGATACATTTGCCATGTAGTCTGCCGAACAATCAGGGTTTTAGCAAGCTGTCCGCAACTTCTTCAAGCCTGATGTAGAATTTACTGTACGTGGACTTTAAGATTATTTTTTACTACAAAATAATTTCTGCAAATAAGTGTCCTATAGTAATTATTGATTTTCGTTCGAGAATATTTCGCCATCTGTCAAAAAACATTGCAAATAGTTTATCATTAATCATCATAGTAGGATCAAGAGCAAGTATTTACATTGATATTTTTATTATGCAACGTGCCTTATTTCACTTGAAAATTATATTTAATTCTTAGACGAAATTTTCGATTAATAATCTGAGATACGTTGAATTAAATTAAGACGAATAGCAGACGAAGAAAAAAATATTCAGATTTAATGTGGATAATATTTCTCAGGAAATTTAAACTATATTTACAATAACATTCTCTGCAACGGCACATGTGGTTTTTCGTTTTCTTTATTATTTTCTGAGAAAACTTCAAAACCTGTCGGTTCTTCTTCTAGAAAATTTATATTTTTTTCTTGTGGACGCTTATCATTCTTACAAAATCAATATTTAAAAAAATTTCTAGATGCACCGATAACTATATTCATGCAGTACCTAAAAATTTGTATTTCTTTCAAATGTGATGCTAAGAAATTCGGATAGTATGGTACGAGAACGTCTATATTTCCTATATAAATTAACCGTGAAAATTGACAGAAATATTGTTCGACGTACTGCCAACATCCATGTAAGACATGTATACTAGATACTCCATATTGTCAGAAAAAAGATGTCTAAATATAAACATTTGAGCTGTGCTCTTTGTGTAAGACCTAATCTAGCAGGACCCTTTGTATCCTTAGATGAAAAGTAGTGTTCTCTCTTATACGAACACTGACTACTACAACGTTATAACCTTCGTTCCCATGAAAAATAATAAATTTCCAAAATCTGGTCTTAATATAGACTGCCTCTCAGATATAGAAACATATAGAACTATATCTATTCGTTCGGTGAATTACTCCTCGTTCGATTGGCACCTACCGTCACCGTTACTCTCAATTCCATCGGTACGGAGGTGGTTCTAATTTCTTGAAGAAGGTCGGCTATAAAGTGTCTCGTAGATAAGACGAAAATGAAGAACGAGCGAAAGACGAACGACCCAGATTTCCGCAAAGATGTTCGCGTCGCGTACGAAAGACGTTAAACGCAACGGCGTGGGTGACGATTAACTTCGTGTAGATTGTGGCGGGAACGATTAAATAATTCGTGGCGATAGGGACCGGCTGTCGCACTCGTCGAGGATATGACCATCTGCATGCGTAATGCAACCTGGATGCGTCGCTCGTTAACGTAACGTTCCGTTTCACTCGACGTACGTAATTCGTAACGGTGCTGTACCTACACACGTTGAGCGTGTCCTCGATCTAAATCTATGACCCGAGTCGAGGGAACTGTTAAACGATCGAACAGCTTCGTTTTCGAAACGGTTAACCCCTCTACGCTGATAAGGGAGGCACTCAGCGTCGAAAAGTATCCGACAACGAACATTTTCCAAACTTTTATCTCAATACCTACTGATAATTCGCGTGTATTCCCTCCCTCAAGCATTCGCGGTCATATGTCGAACGAGGATCGATGGAAATGTACCGAATTCGGAAAATCTGAACTGCGAAGCCGATAACGAGTCTTTCAAAAGCCACACATTTGGCGAGTTCATTTATTGAATTGGTTAAATGAATATCTGCCGCTTCTTGGTTTGAATACCATTCCATTCATTATCACTTCTAGTACACAACAAATAGTGTAACCAAGTCGCAAGTTCTTCTATCGAGAGAATGAACGACATGTGGTATTAAACTGTCAACAAGGTTTTAAGATAACAAGTTATCGAGGATTGTTTTCATGTATAATCCAGCTTAATCTATAGGTGACAAACCCAGTCACAAACATTCCGTCAATCATGTGTGTAAATATTGTACCATCAATGCCCAAAGAACTCTGCGTCATCCTAGCTTCAATGTCTTTCACGAAATTTTCTAAACCTTGCCCGATCTTATCATTCCCTCTGCTCTTCGTATGATCTTCAAAGCTATTATGCGCGTGATTTTCGGTTACCTATTGAGGGGTATCCTTTTAGATTTCCACAGGCTTAAAAAGAAGAAAATCGGGAATAATAAATCGTGTTTGAGACTTTTCAGTGATTCAGCGATACTCACCTCATTTGGGCACTTCATCTTCATACATATTTGTATATTTAATTTCTATTGGTAAACGAATGTTTCATTTACACGTTCAAGACTATCCACTTTATGTAATAAAGACTTCAAATAAAATAAATATATAGGGTGCGTTATGCAATTGGAATATATATTCCCTATTCCTTTGAAGATAGAAATAAATGGTAGAGAAAAATGTTGAATGCTATAACAAGCTGTATCTCCTCGCGACAGCGTTTCCTTTGTTACATTGCACTTTTTTCTTTAATAGAATTATGAATGCTTTGTGCTTTACATAAATCCATTCCTTGAATTAAAAAATTCATACTTGGTTAGATATTCTATATTTCACTTCGGAAAATTGCTCGTGTCCATTTCTTTCCGTGAATAATTTAAAACTAGATACGAAATATTTTTTACGATATTAATTTTTCGACAAAAATTTGTTAAGACTTCTTTTTAGGTAGAATGATGAGAAGAATTGATTTCAGTAAACAAAAAAAAAAGAAGGAAACGCAGGGATTCCTTTAAAAAAATCTAGTGGAATTGTACCGGGCAGGTGCATCGTTGCACGTATGAAAATAATGAGGTCACAAGAGGATAGACCTTGTTATAGCGTTCACCATTTTTCTCTATCGTCTTTTTCTATCTCCAACGAAACAGGAGATACTACACGTTTTAAATGCGTAATATACTTGGTAGTATTTGCAATATTCAAATATTGACAAAGCGTAAAGCATTTTGTGCGTCACACATGAGGCATGGATAGAGGTTTTTTGAAACTAGAACGGAAAACAATATATACAATCAGTGTAATAAGTATTTGTACAGGAACCATTTATATTAAATGGGTTGCTGTACGAATACTTCTTACATTGACTTCATATTTGAGAAAATATGTTTTCTTTACTTTGTTATAAAAAGAATAACTTTTATGGAAAGGTAATAAGAAAAATAATAAAATCCATTGAAAATCGAACAATTTATGGACTAGTCCATTTTCACTTCCACAGTTTTAGTTATTCATGGTGTTCTACTTATTCGCGATTTTCTTTGGCATAACTTTAACGCATTCTGCACCGTGGTTCAATTTTCTTTATCGACGTTAAGTGAAAAGCTTCGTATGCCCTTTGAAATTCATTCCTTCGCCAAAAGTGACTCAAGAACTGTTATCGAGCAAACGGAAGTCACAGGCGCCGCGAAACTATGCGAAAAAGTAGACATTGCTTTTTATGGGTGAAACATAGGCTACCGCGAATGTTAGTTGTTCCTTTTATTACATCAATACGCTACAATGTACTTGAGGTTTTTAAGCGGCTGTACGATGATTAATCGACCGTCTTACTCCGCAGATGGCGAATTTAAAGGCAGCTTTGGGTACGAGTGAACTTACCGATATGAAGGCTGGCCTTTACCGAGCACTGGTAGCGGAATTTCTAGGCACAATGCTGTTGAATTTCTTTGGTTGCGGAGCCGTCATCACTGCAAACGTTGTTGCCATAAGCCTTTCCTTTGGCCTAACGGTGGCTGCCGCGATCCAAGGTATCGGGCACGTTTCTGGCGGTCACATCAATCCTGCCGTCACGTTCGGTTTAATGGTTGTAGGCAAGGTCAGATATTACAATGTGATAATTACTGTTACATCGTCATTTAAACCCCAACGCTTAATTAGCTTGGTCTCTGAGAGGAGAATCTTTGGGAATTTTTAATACGAAAATGACCAAATGCAGAAAATTTAAACTTGAACATACGTGTATATATGTATGTCGCAGGGAAATGATAAAAATAGAGATTTGATCAAATCCCTAAGGTAGATGATCAATTCACGGGAGGTGTTAAAATAAGAACTCTGCGAGGTCATTTCCCTAAAGAAAGTAAGTGATTTGATCAAATCCCTTGAATGTTTTAGTGAAAAGATGAAATAATATTGTTTAGATATTAAAAGTATTAATTTAGTAAATCATGCGTTATTAAGTGTAGAGTAGGTAATACAACAGTAGTCGTAGAAACATAAATTATTTATTAATTACATTCCCTAAAAAATATTCTTTTTGTTTTTTAAAATATCAGCTTATGTACCTATTTCTTCTGCTAATTAGTCTCGAATAAATAATTTATGTTTCTATGAGTATTGTTGTATTACCTATTCTACTTTTAATAACGCATGATTTACTAAATAAATACTTTCAATATCTAAACAATATTATTTCATCTTTACACTAAAATAGTTAAGGGATTTGATCAAGTCACTTACTTTCTTTAGGGAAATGACCTTACGGAGTTGTTATTTTAACATCTCCCGTGAATCGATCATCTACCTTAGGGATTTGATCAAACCTCTATTTTTATCATTTCTTTGCGATATATATACTGCGTGTACATCTTGCTGAAAAACTACTAGTCTGATAGATTTTATATTCTCACAAAATGTTATCATACGTACTGTTTAAAGTGAGAGATTCTCGATATTTTAATATATTTACTAGATATGCATTTGTTAGACTTGCATATCGAGTGAAAAATTGTGATTTTGCAATTTATAATAATATTGCTTTTGTAATAACTACTTAGAGCACGTAATAAATATTACGATCTCTCTGACTCTAGCGTAGGCAGTATATGTACACGCAAAATTAGAATTTTAGAAATCAGTTAGAAATGTATATATTTTTCCCAAATTCATGAATTTATAAAATATTCTTCTCGAACCAGCAACGTTAAAGTTAATATTAAATTAATTTTCATTGCTCAGGTACCAATAATTAGAGGATTATTGTACGTCTTAGCTCAGAGCATAGGTGCGATAGCAGGATCCGGTGTGTTGAGGGCACTGTCACCTGAAAGAATGGAGGCTGCGTTAGGTGTAGTGTCCCTTTCCGCGGGTGTAACACCTGTCCAAGGTTTTGGTATAGAATTTTTCCTTGCCTTCATATTGGTCCTCGTAGTCTGTGGCGCATGCGACTCAGCTAAGCCACAAAGTCAGGGAATAGCGCCTCTCATAATTGGACTTGCTGTTACGGTTGGCCACCTTGTTGGGGTAAGTTCATTTTAATTATTTACTTTTCTATAATCGAATCGAAAAAAGAATCGACTTGGAAGACCTTCCACCATTGATCCAAATGGAGACAAATTTTCCTTCCAGTTTGACAACGATTATTAGTAGACTGCAGATCTTTATGCAAAATAAAATCTTCGCGAACGTGCCTACAAAAATTGAACCTAAATAGGAATTTATTTTATTCTGCAAATATTACAACATGAACTTCACTTTCAATCTTTTTTATATTCTTGCATATTGTTTGCATTTTGTAGGTTCTTGCAAATTCAAATTTCCTGTAAATGCATAAAGATCCGCAGTCTAATTATTAGTAATACCATTGACTCTTTAGTCCATGAATTTTGTTTTATCCTTAGGAAAAGAAATTATATCTTGACTATTTTTATATACGCGTGTATTAATTAATACTCGAGTAAAGTAATATGTGACTGAAACTGTAGAGCTAAGAGATGTTCTTATATGGAAATATCATGCACTTTCCTATAAACATGTCTCAGTTAATTTCACAGTAATTGCTTTTATTGTGTTTCTAATAAATATATAAATGTAAACAATTATACTAAGGTAACTAGTTTATCTTTACCTGTATCGTTTCAACAGGTACCAAGAACTGGAGCTGGAATGAATCCCGCACGATCATTAGGTAGCGCTGTCGTGATGGGTGCATTCGATGACCATTGGGTTTATTGGACTGGTCCGATTCTTGGTGGAATGGCGGGTGGATTAATTTACGCGCATGCAGTTGGTCCTGCGAAGGAACCGGAAGGCCAGTACTCAACTGTTGCAAGAGGAGAGAAGGAGGTAAGGTGAACGGTGAAAAATCCGTCAAGAGGAATTCATTACGCCCAGTTCCCAATTTCAACCATTAACTAATGACATCAATTGTATATAATCTCAGATAGCACAGGGACATCTTATGTACGTCTATAAGACGTCCGGTGCCGGACGTTCGGGACGTCCTATGGGCGTACAGATAACGTCTAAACGTCCCCTGAACGTCCTGTGAACGTCCCTGGAAAGTCCCAGTTACATCGTAGGAGGTTTCTGTGACGTCCGGCGTGGACATTCTATGTACGTCCCTGGGACGTCCGATGTGGACATTCCCAGAACGTTCTCTGTACGTCCCTGGGACGTTCAGTGTGGACATTCCCAAAACGTTTTCCGAACGATCGAAATGAACGTTAAAATGAAATTTATGTTTAGAAGATGCGTGTATTGAATATTTGGACAATGTTGAATAAATTTCGAAAATTGAGATTTAAAAAAAATTAAATTTTAATTTTATATATTTTCTTTCATTTGTTGGTAGATTTTAATTAACTGTATTTATTTCTTGTAACTGGATTCCATGAAAACAACGAACAAATCTTTTTCAATTTTTATTTACACCCCCGGCGGGATTCGAACACTCACGATTTTCGAACTATAAAACGCAACCTGTTTCCTCACTTACTCATAAACGTCTTTGCTAACACGACTCATATTTTAGGCTTATAGTGACTCGCATTAATATTCGGACACTTTTTAAAACACAATTTCTTCTTTTGAAATTGGTCTAAATGACTTGAACTTTTTTTCGAAAAGTTAGAAGAATTAATTTACTAGGTAATTCTGAATAGTTCCAGATATTACATACATATCGCATCTCATATGTACAAAAAATATTTTATTCCTAATATTGAATAAACATTTTGTTTTACATGTTCAAACATATATTCTGTTGCGAATATTAGATAAATATGTGTTTTATCCACGGAAAAAAATATTCTGTTGCGAATATTAGATAAATATGTGTTTTATCTACGGAAAAAAATATTCTGTTGCGAATATTAAATAATGACTGTATACCCAGATAGCACAGGAACAGGAACGTCTTATGTACGTCCATGGAACGTCCGGTACTGGACATTCCCAGAACGTTCTCTGTACGTCCATGGATCGTCCGGTGCTATCTGGGATAATAATATTAATTATTTCATTAATATCAATTTACAATTGTAAATAGTGTATTTTATTTTCGGAAAAAAATATTCTGTTCTACATATTGAATAAATATTATATTATAAAGAATATTAATAAATAATATTTATTTTGTTTAAAAAAAAAAGTATTTTTCCCTAAATCTAGAAAGTTCAGACCGGACATCCCTGGGACGTACAGAATTTAGGTCCCATGGACGTCCGATAACGGACGTTGGACGTAAACTGGACATAAAATGGACGTCCATGGGACATCCGGTGCTATCTGGGATGTAATAAAAAGATTTTGTTAGGTTTCAATGTTTTCAAATAAAAAAGAACATACATATTGGTTGTATGAAATTTATTTCTCGTTACATTCTTATTTCAATAATTAATATTAAAGAGCCATCTCTCAAAAGTTGAATTTTAAATTCCATGATGTTTCATCCCTTCATTTTTCAGTTATTATGTTTACTGAAATTATGAATTATAGTATTTTATTGTTTTGATACTCTAACTTTCGAATGTCAAGAAAATAAGAAGAATATATAATACATTTGCATTTTATTGTTATACATGTGATTAAGTACTATGATATTAGAGAAACATAATAACTTGAACCAAGCATGTCTAGTGTCTACTAATTCTCGTTGTAGAATCTTTCTATGTTTTATCGTAATTATTTATAATTTGAGGAAAACGAATGCGTAGCAATCGACTTTTTCTTTTGTTAAATTTTCAATCGTATTTATCCCACAGCAGTTCGAGTACATAGACAGCGGAAGGGGTGGACTTTAAGAAATGAAGATACAAAGAAAGATTCGAAGACGGGAATACTAATTGTTTTTTTTTTTTTTACACTATTCGTTATTATAAGTGATTGAACAGTCGAAAACATGCGAGGTATTATTTTTGCAGTTAGAGCGCCTTACCGGTCAGAAGAACGTCAACCCCGCTTGATCTTCCTGTTGCTGCTAATCGTCAAATTTTATATACTGTCACATTTGAGAAATCGAAAATCAAATGACTCCGATGCATCGAGAAGATTGTTTAATATGAAAAATATATGAACGCGTCTTTAAGAAAAAAAAAAAAAAATTGCCGCTTGCCTAGTACAAAATACATACAGTTAAACTTATGCAACCTGACAAGATGATTAAAGTAGATTATAACGTTCTAATGACTACAAACTCTTGATATCAGGTGATTTTAAGAGAATTGAGTTTACAATTTACGATCTGATTTATAACGAGCATTTTACAAATAATTCATTTACATACGTTCGTTTCATCCGCGTTATTTATAAACTTATTTTTGTCACAAATTCAAAGTGTAGGAGAATTCATTGTATCGATAATCGAACGATAATCAAAAACCAAAGATCGATTCTGTACGACCAAATTTCATAGTGGCGACATCTAGCATTGCTTAAATGTAATTCTGTCTGTTGATAAATTCTGAGAAATTTCATTGATACAAAAATTAAATTCGGTAAGAATAAGCGCATTTAAGAAACGTCAGAAGTTATTTTATATTATTTTTTGATGTTTTTATTCATCTGTTTTAACGTATTATACCGCAGGTTATAATTATACAATTATTCTCCTACATAGTACGTGATCAGAAATATAATTTGTAAGTCCTAACGATAATATGCTTTCAGTATTTAACCAATTTTTTGTACATCCTTATTGATGGTTTACCGATAACTATTCATTGCTATTTTATATCTATTATATTTATAGTCATAAGTTACATATGATTTTTAATGATTGTACACTAAAGTACGACGGAGATAGTATTATCACGTATGTAATCATATTTATATAATATTATAATAATATTATATAAAATAAAATGTATATCTACATGACCTATGTTCTATTGTATGAAATAAAATATACATATTTTATACGAAATTCCAGCAGAGAAGATTATCTATTCTAAAAGGATAGAAGAGGATTTTCTGGTGAAATAAGCAACACTTATATTTACATTTACACACCATGGTTTGTATTTGATACACAACTTCAAATGTTTATAGAATATCGAGTAGTCTATGTACCGTTTCCATCCTAGTCTCGCACAGTTACCATTAAGTGTTACAGTAAGTTTAATTCTTTAAAGTACCTTGTGTTCCCAATAATGGATTCAGTTTTGAATAACAATATGGAAAAATGTAATTCGATAACTGCACAAAATAAAAAGATTCGTCGACGAATCTCCTATTAAGAACAAAGCAGATACATTCGAAATAAAACGTAACTTCCGATGTATATACATGTTTTACGTTCGGTATTTATGTGCATAAATTCCAGACGTTGAATTAGATACCTAAACAGATTAGCTAAGTCTAAAAATTCTTCCAATTGGATTAACGCAACTGGCACAATTGGTAAAATAATATGGATAACAAAAATTTATTATAATAATTCAAATAAAATTTTTCTCTTTCATGCAGCAAAGTTTATTAATAGATAGCAGGTTTTATTTTCGTACCTTACTGATATCGTTAATAATTAACATTGCAGACGTAATCCAATCCTACAATTATCACACGGGAAAAATAAAAAATACATAAGGAAGTTTAGATACAATATAGTAAGATTCTGATTATCTTAAATTCATGGGATTACTTAAGGAATTTAGCGATAAAACGATCGATGTGTTCATTTTATCTATCCAAATGCATCGAAGTCGAGTTTCAAATTTATAAAATTGTAATCAAAAGTGTAATATTCAAAACTTTGTCGCATCTCTCATTTTACACTTTTGTGGAAAGCAATTTAACCCTCCATTTGTTGAAGTTTATCTTCAAGACTGTCTTGACTGTCGTTAGTATCATTCAAGCTTATCGTATGATTTTCGTGTTCAAGTTCAATCACAGAATCGTTTAATTGACTTTTTTGAACGTCCAAAACATTCTCTGAAGGTTCAAAAATGTCTGTGGACTCCGAAAGGTCTTGTTCGTCTAAGGAGAGAGTAGAATTTTGTTCGGGTTGTACAACAACTTGGTCTTCGGATTTAGGTTCTTTCTTAAAGTCAGATTCTAGCGAAGTATCTACAGTTAATATTTCAGGATCCTCTAATTTCGGGGCCTCAGCTTCATTTTGGATCTCAACTACGGTTTCCCTTTTTTCTACATCATCATTATGATCATCATGATTAGCATTATCGCCGTGATCATCGCGAACATCGCGACCATCGCGATCATCATGATCATCACGAGGATGATCGCCCTCAGTATTATCATCCGCTTTCGAAGGACCAGCTTTTGGTTTATCAGTATACGTTTTCTGAGAAGACTCCCCAATTGTAGACATTTGAGAGAGATTACTTAAAACCGATTCTTGCATCTTCACCACAGAGTCCGCCGAATCCAATATATTACATAATTCACGACTCATCTCTTCTACTTCTGATACTTCGTCTGATTTTACAACAATAATTTTTTTATTTCCATAAACTTTCGAACTGGTTATCAATGGCTTACCTTCTCTTCTGGGCGTTGCTACAGGCGTAGATGTTGCTTTTGGCGGTATCACAGGTTCTTTCTGTGTATTTTCCACTTCTTTCATTTCGATATCGGGCAATTCTTTTTCTGGCTCACCTTGAGTACTTTCCATTGTTACTGTCGCCGGAGTTGTTACCGTAGCTGTTGTTCCTGTAGATATTGTTGTTGCGAGTGTTGTCGTTATAGGAGTAGTTGTTGTTACGTCATTGTCATTATATTCTTGTTCTTCATCGTACATACTTTGCTTTTTCTTCACAAATACCCTTTTCAGTGGTAATTGTTGTTCATCGTCGGACTCATCATGACGTTCTGGTGATAATTCTTCTATAGGTTCATATTCCTGTTGTTTACGTGCTTCCAATTCTTCAATTTTCAAGCGTTGTTGTTCCACTCTCTTCTCTAGTTGCTCCAATTTTTCTTTAGTCTCCTGATCACCTCCCGTGGAGGCTAGTTTCTCAGCGGGTGTTGCTGTTACTTTTGCCATTGGCGGCGATACACTTGCAGGTTGTGACGTTTTTACTTCGAACTTTTGAGATTCGTTCGATACAGTCTCATTACTTTTGATTGTGTTTGTTGGTTGTCGTTGACTCGTGGATGGTTGCAACACGGCCTGAATCAAATTTGAATGCTTATCAAGAGGTTTCTTCACAACAACTCTTTTTACTACGTTACCAGTTGGTAATTTTGCCAACTCCGCTGGATCTATTATTGTTCCATCTGGATTCATAATAATCTCCCTTGTAGTATCTCCTTGTCGAATAATTCGTCGAACAATTACCCTTTTTGTAACTTTGTGACCTGTACTAGACGTTTGAGAAGTGGTACCTGTTGCATCTCCTTCTTTTAGTGAAGGTACACTTGTTGTAGTTTCTGTGCTTCCACCAGGTTTCCTCGTAACAATTCTCTTTATTACCTTAACAGTACTAACAGCTTTTGGTGTACTACTGATCGTAGAAGGTATTTCTAATTTTTCCTCTTTTATAGATGATTGATTCTGTACAGTACCCTTTGTAGATAATTCTTTACCTTGCTCTTGAGTAGGACTTGCATGTTTCAAAGGAATCTTGTGCTCTCTAAATACAGATGCAACAATTTTTTGAACTTGTGCTTCTGTTTCATCCATGCGGGAAGACTTTGCACATTCCTCAGATGTCTTAGACTGTACAGATTTTACACCCAATTGAGCCTGACTGCTATTTAGACTTGGTTTCACTTTTGTATCTTGCACTTCTCTGCGCTGGATAGGCATCAGTGTTTTAATTGTCTTTTTAATCATATTTCCATCTTTACGTCTTACAAATACTACCTGCTCCTTTTGACTTTCTTCTTTATCTCCCCTTTCTGTTTCATCATCGCTTTCATTACTTTTACTTGGTTTTGGAAGTTTTTTCACAATATATGCTGGTGGTTCGTAATCATCGTCTCCATCTGAATATTGTTCCTCTTCTTCATCTTCATCAGAATCTAGTTCAAGTTTGGTTTTACTGTCTGGCTGTAATCCATCTGGTCCCATTTTTTCACCTGCTTCAATGTGTTGTTTTATATGAGTGACATAATCGGCTCTATTTCGACAAGACTCCTGGCATACATCACAAGTCAATCCCATACCTGTGCGTTTTGTGTGCGTTAGTTGATGTACTTCCAAGCTCTCTTTACGTTTGAATGCTTTGCCGCAATCTTCGCAAACATGACGTTTTTCTACAGAATGTGTACGCATATGTCGAGTTAGGTGGTGAGATAGCAGGAATGTACGAGGACATAATTTGCATAAGTATGGTCTATGCCCAGCATGAGTCGTTAGGTGACGAGCTAACTTCGTACTCGTACGGAATGCTTCCTTGCAGTACTCGCAAACGAAAGTTTTATCTTCATTGTGTAGCACCTCGTGACGTTCTAATCCTTGTTTGTATGTGAAACGTTTGTTGCAGATGTTGCACTGAAAAGGTTTTTCTTTTTTGTGCACGGTATCTTCATGTTTCTCTAATTCTTCGGTTGTAAAGAATTCACGGTCACAGTGTTGACAACCGTATCGTAATTCATCTCTATGAACTTTTTCATGACGTTGTAATAAATTTGCTCTCGAAAATTGTTTGTTGCAAATTGGACAGGCGAAGGGTTTCTGCTCCGAATGCGTAGTCATGTGTTTTGCAAGATCATATTTAGAGAAGAACATACGGTCACATTCCGTGCATTTATAGTTACGATCTCGATGAGCTCTTTGAACATGAAGAAGAAGAGCTTGGCGTAAGGGAAACGTGCGATCGCACTGATCGCATGCATGTACTCTTATTTCACCTGGTTCCAATTTCCGTTCTTCTTTAATCATTTTCGAGTCTTGATCTCCTTCACTGCCAACATCCTGTTCTTCTTCATAGAAGTCATGTTGCTCATCCTTTTCTCTTTCATTTTCTGCTTGCCTCTCTCTTTCTCTTTCTCTATCACGATCTTTATCTCTTTCTCGTTCTTGATCCCTGTCCCTTTCCCTATCCCTATCCTTGTCTCTGTCTCGTTCACGTGTTTCTCGTCTTTCTCTATCACCATTGTCAACACGAGGCTTCTTTATTCCTTCATTTTGTGATCTCTGCTCCAAAGGTCGTTTATTATTTGTTTCAGGTGGATCATTAGGAAGCGGTGGAAATGGTCTTGGTAAAAAGCCAGTCAGTGGATAAGCTCTTAGCGCTTCATCTGCTTTCTTGCACCGAAGTTTGAATTTGTAAGAACGATCCAGGTTCCAGCGACACATACTACATATCATTTGTGGCATCCCATCAGCTGCGTACACCTTAAAAACAATGTGCATAGACTTTTTAGTTTCAATTCAAAAGATATTTATATAAAAATACTTAACAGGAAGTACGTAAAACATTTTGAGAAGCATGAGAGCAATTCATAGGTAAAATCTGACTTGGATAATAGACAAGTTCGTTAAACGAATAGTATACTATTTTATTGTCATATAAACACTAATTTCAATTTAAAATTTCTATCTAAATTAGAATTTTGTTCATCTCTCATAAAATTTATTATATAAATGTTTCTATAAATGTTTGTGAAAACAGGCAAATTCTATTTACAAGTCTGATATTTCATAATAAAATTAATTTTAATGTTTATATATTTGTTGTACAACAAAATTCGATGTAAAAATCGAATAGAATATATACATCGATCATTTTCCCGCCAAAATGTATTATTTCAAGTCATCGTCTAAAGATCTTTTAATAAGTAAGTCGATAAACATTTTACATACTTCACGCATGTAAATGTCGATGGTAAAAAATCTAATGAACACAAAATAAGATATTTTACCATCAGAATATTTAAAAGTTATCGAGATCACAAATTAATTTTGTAAATACCATTTAAGTGAAAGTACGTATTAATATTCTTTCACGTGTAATCATCAATCGATATTAGCCAATTCTATTCTAAGTCATTTATTTATCAAATCAGCGAACGAGAATCTCGCGATCGATTCTCAAGAGAAGTCGTTGACTGCACACGAACTCTATCGGTAAACGTGACATCTGCATTATCGAAACCTTTATTGGAGTACCGTGAATTTTATTCGACGAACATGTATGATAACAAACAATTCAACAAAAGCCAATGCCATAAACGCGCTGAACGAACAGGTGTGCAAAGTAATCACCAATACAAATAATGGTTAACCTAAGCCAAGAATATGGTACGAAAGATAGACAGAGAATAGGTCGGTGGCGGTCGATGCCGTCTTCAAAGAAAATAATTACCTCGATGGCGACGCACGACATGATCTGCAGGGTAAGCGGCACTTGGAACGGCTTGCTGTGATCCCTTTCGTAAATGAAGTTCAGTGGTTCAGATTCTGTCAGACAAAACCGACAGACTCTCCTGGAACGGAGCGGCGCCGGTCTGTTCTCCATGTTTTCCTGCCAATCGTGCTCGTTCAAGCACCCACGAAGACACGCAACTCACGCGTCTCTCACGTCGTTCTTACCTCGAGTCCTCCTCGTAGTTTTGTCTATTCACGCTTTTAATACACCGCGAATATAATCGCGATATGAATCTATTCGCTCATTAATCGGAATTTTAATAAACGACGCCGAGCGTCGGTAAGCGTCGCGTCGCGAACAACGAACGAGCGGGACGAAGTACACACCGCTATGGCGCTATTATGGCGGTCCGAAACTCGTTTTCCTCTGCGTGGCGTCTTTCGACTTCCGAAGCTCGTCTGGCTGCGGCCTTTGCACACCAGCGCCCAACGGTCTCTTCATTCTTTCCCATCAATACTGTGTTGGTAACGTAGAGTATTCTGTTAGGCGTCCTATTAGCCCTGTCGGTATTTCAGGCTTTTTCATTTATGAATTACATTTACGCGATGAAAATATCAAAGTGCTGTTATATAATAATTATACTTATTAGTAGGAAAAAATTATTTCTAAAATATAGTGAAAAGTAATGTATCCCTTGTATATTAGTAAATATAAGATTATTCCTATTTTATCCAATATTTGTATTTACGTACATACGTAATTAAAATTTCGACTCATTCTTAATTAATCACTAATAATTGCTTACGAATATTGTAATATTATCTAACATTCTTCGTCAAATTTTTTTATCACTATATTTTAGAATAATTTATCTTCGTAAGAAAATCAAAAACCAATGCGATCGAAACGTTCATCGTCAATAAAAATACACCGTTATTGCCATTACTGTTTAATAAAATTGAAATACATTAACCGAATAGTAATTTGTACCATACATAATAATAATTTTGTACCGACGATTAAAGAAGTAAGTTACCTTAATTCGTAATATCCGTGTATTCTATGAAACTATTTAATGAAAATACAATAAAATTGAAGTGAGACACCTAATCGCTCGAAAATACATGCAACGATATCTCGATGAAATTTTATCATTGAAAAAACAATATGGTTATGAAACACTTTTATAGAAAAAATATATTTTTCTTTTAATCTTCATTTGGTAGTGTTTACAATGAGTTGCGATTTAAACTGGAAAATACTGCGATATTTTAACAGACAAAGGCGAAGGCATACTACCAGTAATCTGGAATCTCTGCGTCGGGATATCGAAACAGACGTTCACCTACGAGCAGCGGAAGATTTATTGCAAAGTCTGCGAACTGATGCGAAGCGTGGTTTATCCACGGCTGTTGCATGCGAGCTTTTAAGGAAAAGTGGATCGAATACGCTTACACCTCCGAGAAAGACTTCTAACGTATTAAAATTCCTTCGCCGATGTTTTGGAGGATTCTCTTTGTTAATTTGGGTATATAATATAAATGTAGAAATACAGTAAAATATCGTACGAACTGTAATATGGAATATAATACAGGTTTAGTCACTTGAACTCTAAATATTGTTTAAAGATATAGATGTATACTTTTGGAAGTTATGATATATCAGACATCTCTGAAAACTTTGATAATAGTAGAAATTGTTTATAATAATAACGAATCATATATGATTTTCTGCTTTATCATTAATACATACAGCAAGGTAATCTACACCATTGGTTTTTTTCCTATTAGGCATGTGAATCTTATAAAGATGGGAGTCGATGTTTAAAGTAGAAAAATATAGATAATTTAAAAAAGCTCTTTCCATTGATACATTGATTAATATTTCTAGTTTAATCTCTTCTTGTAACGATATTGTCTCGTAATATTATCAGAATATTTGTTTACGGATATTTATTCTGAATACAATTATTGTAGCAGTTACCTCCATATCATAATATCAAAGTCACTTAAAACAACTTAGAAATTAAACATACACATACGTGCGTCTTAGTATATACGAAATTCCTGTCCACATGAACAATTCAAAATGTTTTAAAGAAGCGAAATATAATTTAGATCTGCGTTATTCAATAAAAATAAAAGTAACGATCGACGTGAAAACGATCCATTGTCATTTTTCTAGATTGGCGCTTTACTATGTTTCTTTAACTACTTTTTGGAGTACGGAGCCTACGGGGAAGCTTCCAACGAGCACCTGGGACTGGGTATCGTGCTGGTGGCCTTGACTTTGGTCACAGGGATGTTCAGCCATTATCAGGAATCGAAAAGTTCGCGTATCATGGAGTCGTTTCAGCAAATGCTGCCGCAAAAGACGACGGTCTTGAGAGACGGCGAAAAGAAGGAACTGTCCGTAGCCGAATTAGTCGTCGGGGACATTGTCCTTTTGGAAACTGGCAACCGCGTTCCTGCTGACATTAGGATCCTGGAATGTCAAGGTAAATTCGTATCGCCGTAGTTGCAGGCGTAACTTTCTTATTTCTCGAGAAAAAAAGTCCTCGCCTTTCTCTTCGTTGACGCTCGAGATATCGCATTGATTGTGCGCCTTATAAATACAATTTCACGGAATCGTGGAATTGTTCTCGTGGTAGGTTATTTAAATCAGTTGTTGCGCATGGCGGATTCTGTTTATTGTATTCAAATGGTAGAACATGGTAGAAGTCGGTTCTATTTTTAACCGACTTCGAAAAGGAGGAGGTTACTCAATTCGACATGTATATTTTTTTTTTTAAGGTATGTTCACCGATTACGTCGAGATGGCTTGATCAATCGAAGTGAAACTCTCTTGCAACTTGTAGAATATTTCTTCCAGTAGGTCTCATAAACAGAACATTTTGAGATTTGTAATTGTTTATCTGTTTTTTTTTTTTTTTTTTGGCAAAAAAACAGAAAATTTTTGTCTTGCTTCTTACTCCGAGACGGATGAACCATTCGGATTGAAACTTCTTGCATCTGGAAGAGCGTTTGCCATTTGGTCCCATAACAAAATATTTGTCTTTGTTTTACGTACCTTTTCAGTAGTGATGCGCACGAGACGAGACGAGAACTTACTTATTTTAGATTATCGTAACACGTGCTAAGTACACATTTAACATTATTGTATACTTTGAAATGCTCGAATATATCTTCCTTTAACGTTTAATTTACGGTAGACAACAGAGTAAGGAAAGTAATGCTTATTATTTCTCAATAATCTATTAAACTAATCGTACACTAATGAGCTATTAAGCGACTGGAAACTTTCTAACAAACTACTAATAACGACACGTAGATATTATTTGTTAGATAAGCCTCGCAAGTTCAATTAACAGACTTTAGATGAAACGCAATAAAATATTGGACACGATTGGCGATATTACTAGAAGTTACTATCGCTATACTCATGTCTTACCACTCTGCGGTAATTTGAAAGTTGTTAGCTTCTATAACGTAATAGTAATATAATTTCTAACGTAATAAATTATCTAATGCGACACATATCGTTTCATTTTGCTCCGGAATAGCCAATGATTACGTCCACTTTCAACAAGTATTAATTGTAGTTTGAAATTGAATGTCGCGTTTCATTCTCGTAACTTGACTTAAAGGTCTCAAGATAGACAACGCGTCTATTACGGGTGAATCCATACCATTGTTGAGATCTGCCAACGTTCATCCAACTGGTAGCGTCATCGAAGCCAAGAACATGGTTCTCTTTTCCACAGATATCGTTGAAGGTAACGTACTATACGTATGACGAAACGAATTTACGTTCCTGTACTCGATCGTTTCTCAACTATTTCCTACGGTTTCCCAAGCTTTTCCTGTGATGTTTCTCAAACTTTTGTTAATGCACAAGGCACCGGGAAAGGAGTCGTCGTTGCCTGCGGTGACTACACTGTGATGGGCCGAATTGCTAAACTAACGACTAAATTGAAGCCAAGACCGACGCCGCTTTCTCGTGAAATTAATCGCTTCATGAAGTTGATATCGTCCTGGGCTATCTTCCTTGGCCTTCTGTTTTTTACTTTGTCGATTGGAATAGGCTACAATTGGATCGACTCGATAGTGTTTCTGATAGGAATCATAGTGGCGAACGTGCCAGAGGGACTGATAGCTACCATGACTGTCAGTCTGACTCTGACGGCCAAGAGAATGGCGAACAAGAATTGCCTGGTGAAAAATCTCGAAGCTATCGAGACGTTAGGATGCTCCGCTGTTATTTGCAGCGACAAAACAGGAACGCTCACGCAGAACAAAATGACGGTATGATCTGGTTTGTCGTTGGGTGACATTCTCCTTCAGGCATGAATACAAAGAAATTGTTTATTGACAAATTACTTCGCTGCTCTTGTTTGGAAACATTTCTAGCATCATTTTTTACTCATTTCAGCACAGTTTAAGCACGTTTAAATTATTTACACATTAAAAGTGTGAAAAGTTGATATCGTCTTAGCTTTGAACATTAAAGAAAATATACATATGTGTGTATATGTTCTTTGCAAAATATATGAAATTCATTAATTTTCATTTAAAGGATCAATGTCATGGAATGTATAAAATACTTTAATATTCTTTTAAAACCAATAGCGTTAATATGAAAATATATTATTCGTTTAACTTTATTGTTAAGTAAGTGCTTCCTACGTATACGTTATTCTTACTCTAGCTTTGTAAAATGTTTCCCATTCTAATAACTCAATAAAATTTTAATTCTTGTATTTAAAAAATTCATAAGCTACATTACGATTGAAATCAATAGTAATATGGATAGTGATTATCGCGACCACCACGCGTAAACAATTATTATCATTTTTACCAAACAATTCACTGCCAACTACGAGATGTGTCGTAGTTCAAATTCATTGCAATTGCTCAAGGGATAAATTTATACCCTTTTCAGTCACGAATTATTGCAAAAGAAGATCGTGAATTTTCTTTTTAAAATAACAAATATAATATCGCTTTTTATTATCAAAATAATAACCTAGATCATACATCTGTATTAAATCTTGGCGCCCAAGACAAAACGCTTAGCAGTGAATGGGTTAATCGATCATAAATAAGAATAAGAAGAGTTCTTACTTAAAATTAAATTCATTACTTCAGGTTCGGCACATGTGGTACGACGGTAAATTGCAAGAGGTAATGGCCTCCGACACGTGGAAAAAATACGTTAAAAATCCTGGATTCCATAATTTAGCCAGGGTGGCTAGTCTTTGTAATCGAGCCGAATGGGCACCTCTACCTGAGAACATGCCTGTGCCGCCTTTGCATAAAAGGCAAATCTTAGGGGTTGCTTCAGACGCAGCTTTGTTGAAGTGCATGGAAGTCCTGGTGAAAGGAGGCGTAGCCACCTATAGGAAAAGTTGTAAAAAGGTACCTACAATTGTTTACAGATTCGATCAGACATTATCAAGCCTCGTTATCAAGTAAGCTAGGGTTTAACTACCCAGGATGCAAAAGAGATAATAGTATCATGATAATAGTATTATTGTCAAAGGTTGTTGAAATGGAATTCGGGATAGGACAGATGCTTGGCTTTTATAACTAATTGACACAGATTAACCATTTAATATTTAACACGCCGTATACACTCTTCTCTTTTTATACAAGAAGTAACATGTAGTATAGTACAGTATGGTGACAATAAGCGCGGTAAATTCAACCTACTGAACGTTTACTTCAACAAAGGTTGTTGATAACGAGGACGATCACATAATTGATTAAAAATAAAGACATGTTATAAATTCACTTTTTTGAATTTAACGTAAAAGAAACGAGATTACTTTCTGGTTCCCTAAATACAATTAGTGCCTCCAGAAAGGTAAGAATGCCTTTAGAAGCTAAGTAGACGGACCATCTCTCGATCTCCGCGAAGCCCAGAAGATGATACTCCAATGAAAATCGTGAAAGTGATGTTTGATATTAAATCTAGGTGTTCGAAGTACCATTCAATTCGACGGAGAAGTTCCAGGCCAACGTTCACTTATGTGGCAAGAAGCATTTCGTTTCCTTCAAGGGTGCACCGGAAAGTGTTCTGGAGCGATGTTCAACCGTGGCGTTCGGTAACGAGACAAGGGAGCTCAGTGACGAAATCAAGAACGCTTACACAGAATCCTGTTATATTCTTGCGAACAATGGCGAACGGGTCCTCGGATTTGCTGATTTCGATCTACCTACTTCTACTTTCCCGCCAGGTTTCGCCTTTAAGGAGGATCCTCTGAACTTTCCGCTCCAGAATTTGAGACTAGTAAGTTTATTTGCACCGTGTACGAGCGCTATGATGTTATCTTGTACTCGCACGAAACTCTCGAAACGTTTAACAGCATTTCACGCGACAGAAGTTCATTAAGCGTGAAATATTCATTACTGAAATTTAACACGTTCACTCCCAACACAACTCGTGTTAATTTATACGACCCTAAAACTTTGTTTTTATATAACTGAAAATTATTTTTGTTGAATTTAAACTAGTACTTACTTTTGCAATTTCGCCAAATTCATGAATCCTGTGCAGATTTATTTTCTTTAACGGCTCACATTCAGAAGTAATTTATTTAATTCCTTAGTGAAAAATCCCGTCACCCATATATGGACAACGTGGCGATCAACGCGTTAAAAGACGTGCAGGGCGAACTGCGTAACTCGATCATTTTTATTATTTATTGTGTCACGAAGGCGATTCAAATCTTTTCTGGAAATGGATATTGTGTGCTGTTATGAGAAATCTGTCACAATGAAAATAAGTATACGAGGATAGTGTGAAATTTAAAATTAGACACTTGGCTCTAGTTCTTGTCATTAAAGAAGAGGTGAATTAATATGAAAAGGAATTAATATAATTATGGTATATAAATAAAAATTGAACGAAGTTAAATGGCACCCATTTTTCACTCAATTTTCACTAATAAAAAAGAGCGTTTACTAGAATTAAAACGCAACTCAGTATATGACGAATGTAGTTGAACCTCGCAACAGTAAAAACAGAAGTAATAGTAACGATGTTTAGTTTGTTATACGAATAATGTAATAACATAGAACGACTAATATAATAACATAGAATAATATTATAATAATAAATTAGGTCGTCCCACAAGTTCATGCCACTTATTCTTCTCCTGCTCAAATTAGTATGTGAAACATACCCTTAAGCGTTATAAAATGAGGTAATATCTTTCGTTTTGCAATATTTTCCCACCTTTCTGACATAGTCATTATTAAATTTCTGTAGTTTCTTTATTAAATATTGACACAGTCTGCAGCACGAACTTATGGGATGACCTAATACATAATCAGACATTTTCACTTGAATTTGATAAATTATTCCAAAACACGTTGTACGAGACATAAACGTCTGTAAACTATTCTTTCAAAGTGTCTTCCGCGATCCCAATAATTTGGCCACGTCTGTATGCTACCAATATGCACAAACGACTCGATATTCTGCATTATTAGATCGGATTGATCTCGATGATGGATCCCCCGAGGCCAACAGTGCCAGATGCAGTTTACAAGTGTCGTTGCGCCGGAATCAAGGTGATCATGGTGACGGGTGATCACCCTGACACAGCGAGAGCGATCGCAAAATACGTTGGCATCATCACCGAGGATCTATCGCACAATAACAACGAAACGAAACGTTCGATTGTGGTGACAGGGATGGAGTTGCGAGATCTTCAGTCGGCAGAGCTCGACGGCATCATAAGAACCTATCCAGAAGTTGTTTTCGCAAGAACATCGCCTGTGCAGAAGCTTCAGATCGTGGAGAGTTGTCAGCGATTGCATCTGATTACCGCGGTCACTGGTGACGGAGTTAACGATTCGCCGGCATTGAAGAAGGCCGATATCGGTATCGCCATGGGCATTGCAGGTGTATACTCTTTCTTACCCCTTTGAACGCGGAACGATTTTTCCTGGAAATTCTAAGAGGCGTAGAGGTGTGAATTTTAAAAAAATATCACCTTATACGGAACGGTAAAACGGAACTTTTTTTTATTTACAGTTTATTCATAAGATGTTTAGTTTCAAAAATTAAAAATTAAAAATTGCAATCCTGTTGCAGTTGTCTTAAAGAAAATAAAACAACAGTCGAGCAATCGAATTGTAAAAAAAATATCAGCTTATAGAGAATAATAAAATGAAACTTTTTTTATATTTACAGTTTATTCATACGACGTTTAATTTAAGAGATAAAAATTCAGACCTTTGAAGACCTTTTTCCTGAAATTCAATTTTTGCAATGAACTTTTAATTTTTCAAATTTTATTTTCGAAACTAAGCATTCTATGAATAAACTGTATACATGAAAAAGTTTCGTTTTATCATCCCGTATAAACTGATATTTTTTAAAAATTGATTTAACGAAATTTAATTTAAGATTTAAATTCACATCTGACAATGAATGAAGTATCTGCTTCCAACGATTATACTTTTTGTGTAGCCTTCGTTGCTACAATTATAATATTCAAGAACAATTAAATCTATGTTTAGAAACAAAATAATGAAATATCAAATATTATTACAAAATGGATTCGATGAAAATTGTCTTTGTTAAATAATTGTCGCGAATATTTTCACGTTTATTCCATTGTGAACAGGATCGGACGTGACTAGAGAAGTTGCAGACTTGATCTTATTGAACGACGATTTCGCCTCGATAATTACGGGAATCGAAGAAGGTCGAAGACTCTTCGATAACTTGAAGTCGAGTATTGCGTACATTTTGGCGAGCAATGTACCCGAGATAACACCTTTCTTGGCGTTCATTGTTCTCGGGATTCCTTTACCCGTAGGCGTGATTTGCATATTGTGCATAGACCTAGGCACCGACATGTGGCCTGCTGTTTCGCTAGCTTACGAGAAGTCTGAATCGGATATTATGTTCAGGTACCGACGAACGTGGCTGGCAAGTTTCTAAACCACTAAACACTGTTTAGTAAACAGTTGTTGAATGTATACATCGACACCCTGAAAAAGGAAGAAAATGTTCTTATTTAAAAATAATAATATTAACATCGCTGACTAACATTTTAATATTAAAAGCGGTATATACCGAAGAGTTATTCAATAATATATGTTACTCAGATGTTTTATACCGTTTAACAAGTCTCAAAAAACTTGTTTCCTTCTCAGTGTCTTCAGTAATTTGATCAACGTAGCAGTTATTTGCAGTTATAGCATATTATTTTTAAATTGATGAATTTTAAGATCTGCTATTTTTAACACCGTGATTGTCAGACTTACCAAAATTTGCTAGATTTACGATGTCCCCTCATAGGGGACATAAATTGAATTTAAATTAAACTTCGTTTCGATAAAAATTTCACGGAGTTTCTTACGTGAAAATAACATTTCAGGAAACCTAGAATACCTGCCGTGGATCATCTGGTCAGCCGTCGATTAATCTTCATGGCTTACGGTCAGATCGGTGTGATCGAAGTCTGCGCTGGCTTCTTCACATATTTTGTGGTAATGGCGGAGCACGGTTTTCTACCTGGGAAACTGCTAGACCTGCGCTCGTTGTGGGACAGCAGCATAGTGAACGACTTGCAAGACAGTTTTGGCCAAGAATGGACGTACGAACAACGCAAGATTCTCGAATACACTTGCCACACCGCTTTCTTCGTCAGTATAGTGATCGTCCAAGCGGCCGACGTCATGATTTGCAAAACTCGCAGGAACTCACTTTTTCATCAGGGCATGAATAATTGGGTTCTAAATTTTGGCATACTAATCGAGATAGCGGTGGCCTGCGTTGTTTGCTACGCGCCTTACATGGACGAAATTCTCAGAACGTATCCATTGAAGTTCGTTTGGTGGTTGCCAGGCGTACCGTACGCTGTGATCATTCTGATCTACGACGAGCTCAGAAAGCTTTGGATCAGAAGGAACCCTGGAGGATGGTGGGACCGAGAAACATGTTATTAAATTCACAGAACGACACACCCGTACGTTGACGAAATTCTCAGAACTTATCCACTGAAGCACGAACGGTGGATATCGGACGTACCATGCGCTGTGATCATTCTGATGTACAACGAACTCAGAAAGCTTTGGATTTCGAAGCATCCTGGAGAATCGTAGGACCGAGAAACGTTAAATATTTGAGTGAACATATGATAAGCAAAATATAAAAAAAGTAAATAGGAGAAAAGGCTCGATGATGAGTTCGAAATAACAGAAGATGAAAAAGTAAGATTTCATTGAATTTCTTTGTAACTAAAGAAGATACAGAAAATTTTGACTTCACTCTTCTCTATACAACTCATTTCTCTAAGATTTGTTAAAATCATTTATTGACCTCTTCACGCCCTTGGCTATATATGTGGACGTATAGTCTCTTACAATTATAATTACAATAATAACAAAAAAAAATCGTTCCTGAAAAGATTAAAATTATTAATACGTTACAATTAATTATAATATTACCATCAAAATTCACAAATACCGAGTACAGTCAATTTCATAAATATTCGTATCCTCTATGTCTATCGAAGAAATTTGACTAAATTAAATAATAGTTTTGATATTACCAAATGAATTTTTCATTACAATTATGTATATAAACAAGCTTGTACATGTATAAATTATATTTTTATATACATCAACATACTTATACAAACATACGCTTGGAAACATGAAACCTACCATTTAATTTAAACAAATTTCTTCGATAGACAAAGAGGGTACGAATATTTATGAAACTGATTGTATATCAGTAGAAACAAAATACTGCTGCAGTTTAATCGGTGGGACTGCTCTTTAATATCAAACAACCTGAGCACTCTCCCTCCCAAAAGTCATTTTCAACTTTTACGAATCCTCAGGTCAGAATACGAAAAACAGGCCAGGAATGCAAATGGCGGTCGATCGGAGCATCCACTCAGCCCGCTGACAAAATGTTCACTGCGCTCTGTCAGCTCGCGCTGAAAAATGCTGGGAACATCGAGGTTCTCGCTTGGTGTACAGTTAACTCGATGCATCTTTTAACGGAGCACACGTTCGATGCGAGTATGCACGAAGAGCAATGGTTCTCTTTTAGTTCGACGCGGTTGTCGAGTGTTGTAACCTCGCCGAATGGAAAAGTGGGGGCCGCATATAAGGCTCTGGGACCCTCTCTATGGGGCCCAGTAGTCTCTAGTCATCAATTCCTTCACGTTCGGAGAACCGTGACTCGATTCTGATACGACGAAAAGACCTTATTTTCTCCTAGTTACTCCTCTCCTCCGTCAGGATGAAGACGGAGGTGTTCTGTCTTCTGATCTGTCTCGGTGAGTAATTCCCAGTTATAAACACTTGGCCGTTTACCGAACTCGTAAACTGGTACGATTTTGTGATCGCTGGTACTCGTTCAAACTTTTCTTCTCTTTATAATGACATTCCACACGTGAAAATTAGTGAAAGTAACGTGATTACATGCGATATCGGGTTGATACGCGAGCTCCGAAATGAATAAGTCCTTGCTTACATGTTGTTTATCATTCGATAACTCTCTCTTTCGTCTTTTGTCTCTTTTCTGTCCCTCCATGTCCGTTAACACCACATTCGGTGAATGTCGATTCTGAAACTTCTTATCGTTCAGAAGAATAATCCCTTGCTTATGTTTATCGTTCGATAGCTCCCACTTTTTTTCTTTCATCTCTTTCCTGTCCCTCTTTGTTCGTTAACACCACATTCGGTGTTCTATAATTTCGAATCTGAATCTTCTTATCGATGGATTAAAACAAAGAGAAGAAACGAAGCGGAGTGTTATTAAGGGAAAAGAAAACTGTAGAATGATACAGATGATTATATAAAGTGTTTTGGAAGAAGGAATTTCGGATAGACGAACGGCGATGAGTAAACATAATGACCTTTAGCTAAGGTATTGTTTTACTTCGTTTAATAACGACACATACTCAGCTGCGTGCGTTTATAACGTCTTTGATATGTTGACATCGTCTTGCGCTTGACTTTGGGTTTGGGTTTATGGACTTCTTAACTTATAATCAAAACGGATGGGTGCACGCAATATGGAAATTATTCAGAGACAGTTTACGTGCATATCATTCGAACTATCTCATACAGCTCGCATGACTCATACATAATTTGATTGATGCATTCTACATAGACACGCGATCGCTATCTAACCGCGACAGGACTTGCGCCATCGTTTATTATTGAGAAATCAGTTCGCCTTACGCTCCTATAGAAAGTTTCATTTCTCCAAGCCACGTGTGAACTCTCAACTTAAAAATAAACAGATTTAAAAAGAAAGAGTCTGTTACGATTGCTCGTTTAACGAGGCTCGCTTTCCAGCAAATGAAAACGTGGGGATCACAGTAGTCCATTATTGACATAGATTAATCGTGAATACGTAACGTTTGTTGACTAAAGAAATGTATTATTTTGTATTCAGTAATAATTTTATAAATAATACAGTCCATGCGCATCGTTATTTAGGGTAGGTCCGACGATGATAACACATTCGCGACCGCTGACCGTGAATTCGCGTCACTTCAAATTCTATTCCTGGCTATGAAGAAATTATGAAAATCTTTTTATTTTATACACTACATATTTACATCATTCGTACTTCAAAATATATTTTGTAACTTTTATCTTCCCCTTAACGATACACGTTTGCGATGTCCAGCATCAGAATTTTAGTACATTCGTCAGTACTCGGTATTAAAAACGTAAAATATCTACCGATCGCGAATATGTTAACAGAATTGCGGAGTAACCCATCGCTGACATAGACCCATTCTGTATATGTGACACTTGTGCCTCAAAGAAACAAAATTATTTTCTACTAGAGAATACTCTTAAAAATATATATATATATATATATATATATATATATATATATATATATATATATTATATACATGTCGAATTGAGTAACCTCCTCCTCGAAGTCGGTTAATAACACAGTCCATGCGTATCTACATACATCCACTGTTGACACAATCATTTGTTGGTCTGTGATGTTAATCGTTTGAAGATATTAATTATTCCAAAGGATAGTTCGAAGCCCATGTATACCGTGTAGGAGACATGAAGAGGTTAAATCAGCGTCGCGGTTATTTATACCGTGGCTAAAACCAGTCTAAGATCCTCAAAAATCAGTCGAAATCTATATGGACTGTTGGAAAGTTAACAGGTCCGAGCGATTAAACGACATTTAAATTCTGGCCGATCGGATACACGGGAGACCCGGCCACTTTCTCGCTTTCTTCCGTTCGCGAGGTCGACCGGCGTTTACGTGCGACCGGCGTTTATTCAGGGACGCAAAACGTCGCGCCGCCTTGAGCATACTCCGACCAGTTGACCCTCTCCTGCCCTTCACCGTTTTTATTTTCCGATCTTGCTAATTTTTTTTCCCCCTGTTCGTTTGTCATTCTTGTTCGCCGACGCGTACACATCCGCATTGTACTACCACACCTTCTCCCATGAAAGGAATATGAAAACAATTTACGTTCAACGTAGGGTCGTACATGAATCGTTTCGCTTGCGAAAATGTGAAGAACAAGGCAGAAATTAAGTTTAGATAGAAATTAGGATTTGAAGAAATTTATCTACTAAGATTTTTAATTCAAAGCACCAAGTTCCTATGGAGTACCAACGTGTATGAATTGTTTTGGTTAAGAAAATGTGAGAAACAAGGCAGAAGTTAGGATTAGAAGAAATTTATTTACTAAGATTTTTAAATTCAAAGCATCAAGTACCTACGGAGGTCGAACGTGTATGAATTGTTTTGGTTAGGAAAATGTGAGAAACAAGGCAGAAATAAAGTGTAGATAGAAATTAGAATGAAAAGAAATTTATTTACTAAGAGTTTTAATTCAAAGCATCAAGTTCCTACAGAGATCGAACGTGTACGAAGCGTTTTGATTATGAAAATGTGAAAAACCAGACAGAAATAAAGTGTAGATAGAAATTAGAATTAAAAGAACTTTATCCATTGAGATTTTTAATTCAAAGCATCAATCCAGGAGAACCTATAAACTTATAATGTTCAATTTAAGAAAATAGACGAAGCTTTTGATACACTTACCAATGACACGTAGAAATTAATGTCTTCTTATATCAATACATACTAATCTAGAAAATCCTTTTCTGAATTTTATACGAACGTGCAAGGTCCCGTCATGAAACGAGCAGCGAAATTAGTTCTTCTGGATCGGTGAAGGTTAGAAAAACGTATTTTATTCGGGTTATGTAGGAGTCGTCAGTAATGCTGACCTGGTACACCTTGCCTCGGACATGGTGTTACTTCAACGATTCTGCTATTAGAATGTTTAAAGTCTTTCAGAGATCCAGAAAGATTCAAATCGCCTTTTAGAGGCTTCCACGCCAGTTTAGAGGTACATTAAAAAAAGTCCTTTTCTTTTTGTGCAACAATTGATACTTTTGAATAACATTGTTACGATTCCTCTGGGATCGACTAGTTGAACTCATCAGTAAAGTTTACCTAGCATGCCATGCCTTAGACGTGACGCCATTAATTGTTTGGACAGGCTCCAATTACTCCATAGTTTATTAGGAGATAATTAGTTCGTACAGACTGTTCAAACTACATAGAAGGCCAAGGGATACTCGTTTCAAAGTTAAAAGCGTAATTTATGTTTGCTGCCCACGGAGCATTTATTATAAACGACGGTTTCGACTATGAGTTTCTACAGCAGAGCGCAATTTATAATACGATAAACAAAGAAATAAGTAAACAAGTAGGAACAAAAAAGAAATAGTTAAATTTGAAAGAAGCAATCGGTAACTAAAAATTAATTAAAATAGAGAACGTTAAATTAGAAGTAGACGTGACCTGTTAAAACAATTAAAAAATAAGATTTAGGTATGTAGATAGGTTGCTCTTTCTCGAGATTCTACTGTACTGTACTCTACTGTATCACGAAGTAATGAATTTCTCACGATGACACACGAAT